ATACTTCTAAGCCCTCCAAGAAAGAATGGGATGTATATACCTTATAGTAAGACGAAGTAGAATAGGAGAATACCCGTTACACTTGCCTCCCTCCTGCCTCGACTGGGGAAGGCCGGCTTGCCAGGTCATAAATGCTGCATTTCACAAATTTTCGCCTTTGTAACTGCAAGTACAGTCCAGTCAAAAATATGGTTTTTAATACGAAATTCATGTACTTGAACTCTATTCCGCATTGAAGCAACAGTCCAGCCTGAAATTTATTTTGTAATACTAAACATTATGGAGCCGAAATTTTACATTGTATCAAAGAATTGTTTCTAAAATGACAAAAATATGACCTTATTTCAAAATTATGCCAAAATATGCTGTAAAACCAATAAAACTCTAAAATATGCATTTATATGCACAATAAAAACGACATAATTTCAATAAGAATGACTGGAAACATGCATAATTACATTTAAAAATAGGAATAAACCCCAGGAAAAAAATATGACATGTCATAGAAATCCGGGCCCTATTTATGAGTAATTGACGCAGCTTTGTAGATTTCTTGTTAACACAGATTTGTTAGCCATTATAACGTAATAGCTTTACAGTTTCTTTTTCTCGTAAATATACAGTCGTATAAGTAGTCATTGCAATTTTATTTTAAGAATACTTATCATGAGACGTTCAGGTTAACCGAAGTGCAGGATTTACATTTTCTTTTCAGTTTCTACACGTCAGCCCGAACAATGACAGTAACAAAACCGCCGCACCGACCACGGTGTTTCTTTGACATAGAAGTGGGTGGCTTGCCCGTGGGACGCGTTATATTTGAGTTATTCTCAGATTTGTGCCCAATAACGTGCGAGAATTTTCGTGCCCTGTGTACTGGTGAGAAGGGCATCGGGAAAACTACTGGTAAACCACTGCATTACAAGGGAATAATCTTTCATCGCGTAGTACGTGATTTCATGATACAAGGAGGTGATTTCTCTGTTGGGAATGGCACCGGTGGAGAGTCAATCTACGGAGGAACATTCACAGGTGATGTCCAATGTCTGATGGGCCCACTGGACCAGTGGTACTGGCTCTTTCTAATGGGTACATTTGAGTAGGTTACACTGCACCTGAGTGCTGGAATAGATCCAGCTTCTGAAACATGTTCTGTCCTGGAATAGTGGACAAGAAACAAAATCTAAAAAGCTAGTAATGCTAAATATATAGAGCATCATTGCCAGGGCCCTTGAGAATTTGTGTAATGTCTGTACCAAACATTTTCCTCAATGTCTATAACAATTGAATATAATTACGTGACTGATTGGTTGTCCCAACTATGGTATTGGTACTGAATTGAACTTGGAGCTAGTTCTCAACTATGTCACGGCTCAAGTTACTTGAATGTCATCACCAAAGTTGCTGGTTTCAGGCTTTCACAGTAGATGTCAGCATTAAATTATCTCCTTGGTATTTACGCCCTGTGGATGTGGAGCGTGTTTCTGAGATATATGCCGTCTCCATCTTCAGGGTTTATGTTGTGAAAAGAAGCGGAAGCTGACCACCGTACACACTTTGACCCTGAAGGTGGAGGCATTGTGCACCTCCTAAACATCAGCAGCGCTGTCCTCATCTGCACAGGAGCTGAATTAACACCATAGGGATTGTCATTGTATTGAGCAGGTAGATTTACAGCCTCATGCTCCACTTCTGTTCTGATTCAATAGAGACCACTGGAAATGCTGTGTGTATATACAAAGGATGTAATTCATTTAAGTATTTCCCATTCTCTTCATTATCTGATGACTAATTCTGAAATGGCTCCACAGATTTCATGGACCCATGAAGCTTAGTATACTGACTAGACCATGAGTTGGACAGCTGGGATTTCATTGCCAGCAGGAGCAGTTGGTACTGGGAGCTGACCCCTTGTCCCCATTTAGTGCTGAAGTTAAGGATTTGTTGAGCTATACCTCAAAAAGAAAGGTAAATGCTCTTGCCAAGTCGCACAACAAGCTGCTGTATAACAGCTTTGAGGCAGTGCATCAGAAGGTGCATTGATTATTGTCATATTGTTTCCTTTTTACATTTTTGAAATCTGTTCACGTATATAGGGATTGTATATTTTCAACTCTATTGGTGACATTGTAGTCATAATTATTCCATAAGCTGTTGTGGGAGTGCCTTAAGTATCCTCATGTGGATAGCATCTCTACTTTGTATTATCCTAAAATCTTAGATTTTTTTATTGAGAAAATATAATGCTACAAGCCGGAAGGTCGCCGGTTCAAGTCCCGATGAGGTCATTGGATTTTTATCAGTTGACCTAATCCTTCCAGCCGCATTATGGCCCTGACGTCAACTCAGCCTCTAACAGAAATGAGTACCAGGAATTAATTAAATAATTTTCCTGGGGAGTAAAGCCCGGCCAGCGCGTAAGGCTGACAACCTTACCTCCATCTTTGAGCCAGTTGTTTAGATAATGTGGGGCCCTCAACGTCTCACAACCCTGTGGGCCTTCACGGCCTGTTACAGGGATGAGCTCTCGTCCATCTTCACTATACTCAGAAGATGGAGGTGTTTCATTGCTCCACTTTACCAGATTACATAGCACAACATTCCAGAAGAATTGATTTTGTGGCCAATTTCTTTAGTCAGTATCGTGAAACCTCCGTTTAATACTTCCTTGTGAAACAGAGGATTTGAACACCAAACTGAGGAAAATCTTAAAATGTTGGAAGTGTGACTCAATTGTTGATTTGGGGTCATTGAAATTAAACTTTAAATGAAGGAAAACCTTAAATTGGGGCACATTAAACGAAGGTTTCACTGTATAGTGTTTCACAATCTTTAATAATGCAGTTGGCATGTAATATAATGCATACATGTATGCTTTTATGAAACAGATTGAAGCAAAGTAGTGTGTGTTAAGACTTTGCACATGGATGCAGTACCAGTTCCTTTGTGTGTAAGGTGACTTAGTATTGTTTGTGTGTAAACATATACATCAATGGACATACTTCATTATGAAATTGGAGAGGTAAAAAACTGCCAGTTTCCTTAATTATTTTATTAATTATAGAGTAATCAAAATTTCATTCTCATTTGTGTATATTTCTACTTACTGTGCCCCATAATATAAATTAATTTGCATAATTGGTAAACCCACACTAAACCAGAGTAATCGGAGGGAGAGGTCATCTGGATTAATGAAGCAAGAGGTAGCCATAAAAGACAAAAAAAAACTTAGAACATAAATAAATGGAAAATTTAATGATATAACTAGTACTGATGAAAAAGGTAAAAAATATAAGTAAAAACTGTAAAAAGACAGTACATTTCTTCATCAGTAGAAGAGTCAGAAATTGTACTTGTTTTGAACTTAATAATGCAAGTTTGAAGGAACTGTCAGGTTTTGTCTAAACATACAAGTGACTCATCTGCCTTCCTAAATGCCTTGTCTTTTTAAAATATGTACTCAACTGTGATCAGCATTTTACATATTTCAGTCAGGTTATCCAACATCCGGATTAACTGTAACCAGATTAACAAGGGTTTACTGTAATAGCATGAAGCCCTGCCTGGCCAGGGTTATCCGAACTTTGGATTGTCACCATACCCAATGCAGTGGATGCCGACTTAACAGTGTTTTTTCTTTGCATAGTTGTGGTTCAGCTTGAGGTATGGTGCCACTTGCCAACCAGGTCGCGCCGGCACGCTCGCTCTAATCATGTTTTGTTCTTGTAGTACAACACAGCCAGCGCCCCACCTGGACGGGTAAGTGAAGTCATATAGTTTTTTATGTATAAAGTAACATTCGTTGACTGGTTCCACTGCTCTTCACTTCATGGCAGCTGATGCACCCCTTGCTATGAGACCCATACAAATTTTTCCAGTGAATCAGCATGCCTGACTGCCATTAACCTTCAGAATGAAGGGAAGTTCTTACCTTTACATATTTATTTGTCCCTGCAAGTGAAACCACGCTTCACTAGAAAAGAACATCAGTTGCGGATCAATCTCACCTTCAGTGACAGACTAGAAACCAACTGAAAAAATGAACCCTGCTGCAGGCTGCAGGGCAGTTTTATAGGATCTAAACATCTGCAGTTGTGTTGCAGTTCTTGCACTAGACCTTGGCACTCCAGTTTCTTGAGGTAAACATTTCAATGATTTTCTGTGTATGTTCAAGTCTGGCCCCTGTGTCATCTAACTTCTCCTCAGTAAGAACAAGGCATCTATGTTATTGTTTCTTGTCTATTAAGAGTTCAATTATTCTAAGTTTATTCACCAAATTCTGAATTGTTTGTCTGCTGGGAACTCTTTTCATCACAAAGTTTACGTCAAAATTTTCACTGATTTTCTAGCAGATTCATATTTCACATAGGTGCCATATACGAGAAATACATAGAAATACATGTTGCTCTAAAGTATACCACACCATGACATACTGCACTGCTCACTAACTAACTGAGAACAAATGGCTAATGGAGCTGATAACTACTGCCTTTTGCTGACAAATCATAAACAAATCCCCAGTCATGAACTTCACTGCTCGCCGTGAAACATAATGACATCAAGTGGCCCAGAGATTAATTACTTCCCTTCATTCTAAATGTTTTTGGCCATCAGACATGCTGATTCATCGGCAGGATTTATACGTGCCTTGCAACAAGCATTGCATTAGTCAGCAAAGTTAAAAAACTGTGTACTTTGGCATGCTTCAGTCTTATAAGGCCATGATCATGTAGATAATTTTACACAATTGTTGCACTCTATGGATTTTCTAGCTCATTGTTCAGTAACTTGGTTAATGAACACAACAAAAGTTGCACCTTTAAGGCTGCACATACAAATTATATCGTCAATCAGTGCAACAGGATACTGAAATATGATGTTACATAACTGTGGTTGATATTTTAATATGTTGCCTTGACTGTTAATTGAACTGTCTTATCATTTGTATGTTCTTTAAAACACCAAAGAAAATCACATTACAGTTAGCGCATGAATTTGATGTCCTGTGAAATACATATACTACATATCATTATCATAGACTAACTTTTTTAAGTATAGAAACCTTGTTGCACTTCACATTCATATTTTTATGAAGAAGTTCATTTAGAAAGCATATTAAATTAGTCTTTGCACTTCCTGTTGCAGAGTGCACGTGGTATTCTGGCATGTGCTGTCAGGGCAGGAGGTGGTGTTACACATCGAGGGCCTGCCTGTCGATTGGATGTGTCGGCCATTGCAGGATGCCAAGGTGATCAAATGTGGAAAACTGGTGCTGAGAATGAAGGTCAAAGGTAACCAGGTGTTCATTAGAATGGTGTGACTGATGTATATTTTATACATCGGGAGAATATGTGAGTGTAAGTGTGCCTCAGTGAAGGTCCTGTCCAGCTTCATGCAAAACAGATCAGCTGAAATGGAATATTCAGCAGAGAGTCCCAGCACAGTGAGGTAAGATGAAGCACTAAATTCATCATCACAGAGACTTACTGAATAAAGTGATGAATAGACATACAGATGCCACATAAATTTTATATATATATATATAAGGTAAGGCCCTTACACCATATATATATATATATATATATATATATGTGGTGTAATGACCTTATGTGGGTCCACATATTTAACCTTTATACACTCAGCGTGCCAATCTATCGGCGCATCAGATAGCAGCCGGGACATTCAGATGGCGGATCTATTGGCTCCATCTAAATCATGCTCCTTTAGTTACATAAATGGCTCAAAGGTGGCAGCACAAGACAGTATCTAATTCTCCAAAGTCTGTTGCACAATTTTGCACCCAGGTAGCATCTCTTTTCATAAAAAATTATTTTTTTTAACTGAATATGTTGAGCTCACAAGTTTAGTTGGTCAAGTGCTTTCTTGGTCTGCAGTTTTAGTTGTTTTACTGTGAATATATCATAGTTTGGTGGTTGTAGTTTGCTTTTATAATAAAGTTATATATTATTTATCATATTTTTGTTATACTTTTCAGAGTTTATAGTATATATAGTTAGTTATTTTATACAAGGGTCGTACTGAAAGTTATGAGCAACAATTTTTTGTAAAGTAACATGCTTTATTATTGACAAGCCAAATACACCACCTCAATCTACAGACATTTCTTTATTTTTCCACATAATCGCTACTTCTTTGTATACATTTCTCCCAGCATTCTGGGGTTTGAAAATTCCCCCTTCTGTAAAATTCCATTCCAGCCATCCGAAGACACTGATGCACTACTTTCTGAATTGCTTCCCAAGTCTTAAAATGTTCACGCAGCTGATGTTTCACAAATCCAAAAAGATGGTAGTCAGAGGGTGCCAGATCAGGGCTATAGGAGGGGTGTGGAAGAACTTCCCACCCTATCTTTGCAGTTGCTTCCAATGTGACGCGAGCAGCGTGGGGGTGAGCATTGTCATGCAGGATGATGATGTTTTGTCCCGGACATTTATCACGCAATGCACGACGGAGCTTGTGCAGTGTCTGGACATAACAAGCAGCATTGATGGTTTGCCCAGGTTCCAGGAATTCAGCCAGAATAAACCCCTCTGCATCCCAGAAGACTGTGCCCATCACCTTCACTGCTGATGGCACTGTCTTTGCCTTCTTTTTTGATGGTGAATGCAAATGATGCCATTCCATACTCTGCCGTTTCGTTTCAGGCTCGAAATTGTGAAACCAGCTTTCATCACCTGTCACAATACAGAGCAAAAAATCATCGCCTTCGTGTCGATATCTCTGCAGCAGTTCTGAGGTGATGTCTTTTCGCTGACCTTTGTGGTCTTTGGTTAATAACCGCAGGACCCAACGAGCACAAACTTTTCTATAGCCCAAGCTTTCAGTCATCTCCTGTACTGCCACCATACTCTCTTTCGTCTGCTGTTCCCAGGATGCATGCAAAAAAAAAAAGTTGCTCATGACTTGCCGTACGACCTGCGTATTTTTAAGTAGACAGTGACTGGTCTGAGCTCTAAGTTAGCTCTGGCATGTTGGAATATTTTACAACTGACAGTGATAGTGACATTTTGATATAAGAAGTTGGCAGTTCAGATTGTTGTGGTTACAACCATAAATACATGGCAACTGGTGTAGAAGTAACTGGATCATAGTGATCAAAATATTGGATTTGAGATTGCATCATGTAGTTATATTGACACTGTGGAACAAATCAAATAAGGGAAATCCTGGCTGTCGTAAATAGAGGAGAACTATAAGAGGCAGTCGCCACTTACGCTAAGATGGAACCATTGTGGGTCTGCCTGCTAGAGGAAAGAGAAGCCAAGTACAGAAAGCTGTTTGCCAAGTGAGATGCCAACCTGGCATAGGCAGACATGAAAGCTTTTAATGAAATGATGGAGAGAACAGAGACTGAAAGAAAAGTCTGCAATGAGATGAAGATGGTCAAGTGGAAAGCTGACCTCAAAGAAGTGGCAGCAAGGCTGCCAGCTATTCACGACAAGTCAGACACCAACCAGATGAGACTGCAGCCTGAAATGGAACATCAAGAGAAGATTGATGGTAGAAAAGAGAGGACGGCATGCCAGGAAGTGACAGAGGCATAATCCAGGAGAAAAGGTGGCTGTAGTTGAGTGGAAGGAGATTCCTAACGAAGTGGCTACAGTTCGCTACCTTGGACCTTGGCTATCATCAAGGTTGGTGATGGAAACTAGTTTATCCCAGTGGACAGCTCACATTAGGACATTTGCATGAAGACACAAACAGTCATTTCCAAAATGTTGCAACATTAGCATAAAGCCTCATAATGTGAAGGGGTATAATGACTTGTAGTCCATTGAAAGTCAACTGACATTTCAGAAGAACATATTGCCTCCATCTTCAGGGTTGAATAAGCCGATCATGAAACCAGCCAAGTTGCCTGCCACCTGCTTTCACAGTGCTACCATTATTCAACCCTGAAGATGGCGGCAGTATGTTCCTCCAAGACGTCGGTTGACTTTCAGTGGACTACAAAGCGTGATACTATAGAAGATAGTACTCTTTGTAGCCACTGCTGTGAGGACCTCAAATCCTGCAATAAATAATGTCTCATGAATTAAAAATAATTATGCATCTTTGTCAAGAACATTAAAACTTGCCTAGCCAGTATGTAGTGAAATATTGTTCAGGAGAATTACAGTTGGAGACCCTGAGATTTGGGGATTTCACTGAAGTGACTGGGTGTTATGTTGTGCATTCTGGTAAGTATCAGTGTGAGATGGAGCAGCAAGTTTCTCCAGAATGTTGTTACTTGCCAGTCAGACTCTGTGACATCACCAAGTAGGTTGTCTCCAGCAGTATTTCTTCTGAATTGTATTTGAAATGTGACTCATTTGAATTCCTGTGGGACACCAGCTGTCGTGACTGAGCTTTTCTTGTTTCTCAGCCAGTCTGGGAAAATGTCATGTTAGGGCCTCAAATTAGGCAACAGCCATGTCCTTCCACTTTCTTTTTTACATCATTTTATAAATTCTCGTACCATTCCATGCTGTATAATCTGAGAGACTGACAGCATAATTAAGTAAACAGCGAATCTCTCTATACTACAAAACTATAATGGTGCTGTGTACATGTTTGTCCATGTGTGCTGGCTGCAGTTTTTCAATTGGGTGGATCTGCCGGCAGAGTCTCAGTGTCATCAGCTTNTCTCTTCTGAATAAACTTGATTAATTTTGGTGCATTTTATGTAAGATATAAGGAGTGATAGTGTTCATTTGACGTGGGGTGATACAGTTCAGTGCCATACAGAATTCCTTCTGTATATATGTATCCTTATTCATGCCTCTAAGTCAATGCTGAAGAATCCTTGTGTAGCTGATAATTGTTCAGCTAGTGAAGAAATTTCCCACATTTGAATCTGAATGTTCGTTACCATGTTCCATGGGTACCAGCAAGGGGAATACAGGCATATGCAGTTTTTTTTTGGGGGGGGGAAGAAACCTACTCAGTTGAGTTATCGCTTTCTAAGGGACAAAACTGAGTAGGTGTCTTCCCCTCCACCACACTTGAGGACGGAAACACATCCAGTTTCTCAAACTTCTTGTTTTCTGTTTTCTAGAATACCAGATGATGGAAATGTCCAAAAACCCAGTAATTCTGTGTGTTATACTCCATCATCAGAACCCTTTAGAATCTCCTTGTAATAATGCAGGCTTGAAGAAACTGTCATTTTTTTTCTGAACATACAAGTGAATCATCTGCCTTCCTAAATGCCATGTGTCTCTTAAGGCACGTGCTCGGCTGTGAACAGCATGTTTTGTATTTTGATCCAGATTAACTGCAACTGGATTAACAAGGGTTTACTGTGTTAGATTTCATCATTTGGTTTTGAGTGCATAAAGCAGAGGCCCTGGTAAAATAAATACATGACATCACACACCAGGAGACGGTGATGTTCATGTTTGAGACTGGATTTTTGTTTTAGACAAGAAAGTGAAGAAGAAACCAGTTAGCAGTAGCAGCTCCTCTGAAGATTCACACTGACTCTGCTTCTGATTCAAAGAAGAGGAAGAAGAAAGAAAAGGAAGAAGCAAAAGAAAGAGAAATCAAGCAGGTAAGATGATAATGAAGGGGGCAGTATGTCTGTTAGGCAGGGAAAGTTGTTTGTTGTGCAGATATCATCTGACCTAAACTGTAGTTGCATTCCCAGGAATCTTTTATTTGCAGTGAAAAATACATAATTTGTCTTCAACAAATTCATGTCCATGATACATTGACATTACTTCTGGTAAGTATCCATCTGCACATGAATGAATGAATGTACAAAGGGTGGGCCCTCTTGGCACTTGCACAGCGACCACAGTGATCAGTTGTGCTTCACTTTTTGTTTATCCCCTCAGCAATCCTGCGCTTTGAATGAAGCTAAGGATTCTGTACATGGGGACGTCAAATTAGTCGCTTGGTTCCATAAAATATTGACCCAAGTGACATAATCTTAAATAAGCTAAGGCCTCACATTCACACAGGATGTGTGTGGCTGTTTTGTTTTCTTCTTGGCAACTCTCACAAGTTGGAGCGTTACTTAGTCCAGTGTTCCCAACCTTTTTCTACTCGCGGCACACCATGAAGTATCCATGACTCAACACGGCACACCAAAATGTTATTCCCCTCAAAAACGCAAGATATCAGATAATTAATATACATACGTAACGTGATAAACTTATTACTATAATATTATTATGTTGTTATTTTATTATCATTAAACAGAAATTGACTTGTGCATTTATTAACAATTAATGAACTTTTAATTCACTGTAGAGTGTAGAAAATACACTTCTATTACTATTAAAGTAAATACAGCAATTCTACTCATACCTTCAGTATGATACTTGTGCCCGCGTAATCGCTGACAATGTAAGTCTCATTTCTTCATCGATGGATTTGATGTCTTAATTTCAGTTAATGTCGAGTAGCCCAGTTCACACAAATATGTAGTTGAAAATGGCAATAACACATTAACTGCCATCTTGGAGATAGCCGGTTATCCATTCCTTATTGCTGACCAAAACGTATCCAAAGGCACTTCGAGAAGTTTTAGTTTCAATGTTCTGTCTGCTTTTAAATCTGCGAGTTCCTCTTGTATATTAATCAGAAGATGTTCTGAATTCACAACAAATGGATCACGAACCCAGTCGAAATCTTGTACACTCTCTCCAAAATACTTATTGAATTTCTGCTGCAGCATTTCTAAATGTTCTTTAATTGTGTCCATCACCACTTTATTGCCGTCAGGAAGTGGCCATACAGTCAGGGACATCTCAAATGACCCATCTGCAATTCTCTAACTAGCAACCAAATTTGCGAACTACTTCAGAGCACAGCTGTGATAGAACTGAAACAATTGTAAAACGCGGGATCTCTACTCTTAAAATGGAAGAAGTGATACTATACCGACTTATTTTTGAAATATTTATGGTTTTAAATGAAGTCCAACAATCAGTGGGTGCATCGTTACAGGAAGAAAGTCATAAAGTTGAAGAAGCTCTAACTTCTAACAAACAGGGGCAGATACCAAAACAGCGTTATAAAAGACAGGAAAACCCATGCTAATCCCTGCAGTTTTAGGGAAAAGCATGTACACAGTGGCAAGCATATCAAAGAAGTTAGTAGATGTGAGAAAAATAAAAATAAATCAATAATGAAAACTATGATATAACAACAACTGTGAGTAAATAATTTACGTTTCATTTCTTAGAATACAACATTACTGTATATAAAAAATCACAGCATGTAATAAAGAATAAACAAGCATCATCTAATTTAATCAGTGCAGTGGCTGACAATAAAATACAAGCATATGAAACATGGTAACTGGGATAAAATAAAACGAATAAAATTCGATAATTAATTTCTTACAATAGGTAAAAGTTCTCGTCGCACCTTTCACCTTGTGACGGCACACTGGTTGCAGAACACTGACTTAGTTCCAATTTGAAGAGGTGTCCTGTAAGTAGTCCTACCACCCATCGTAGCTGGTTCCTGTTTAACTTCAACAGTTCCTTTGCTCTTTTAGTAGACGGTCCTCATATGAGTCCCTTTGCTTGCCTGAGTCCAGACAAGGATCCCCAGTATTTCTTGTGATTCATATTTGTTCAATCCCTGATTGCCTTTCTGGCAACTCCTATAGAGATGCCACAGGCTGGGTCAGGTCCTGTGACTGGATGTTCAGCTCCAGTCCTGGCCAACTGATCTACTGTTTTGTTTCCAGCAATACCCTCATGCCCCAGCACCCATATCAGTTGTACCCTGTTATGTTTGGCCAGTTCCATGAGGGTTTGGTGGCAATCCCACACCAATTTTGAGTTGATCTGGTGTTTGTCAAGCGCTTTAAGTGCAGCTTGGCTATCGGATAGAATGTAGATGTTCCTATTTCTATAGTTCCTATCTAGATTCTCCATAATACATGGCATATACTTCTGCCTGGAATACTGTCGTGTACTGCTCAAGGCTGAAACTAAGTTTCCGCCTTGTGCCATAGCAGTACAAACCAGCTCCAGTGCCCTTATGTATCTTGGAACCGTCTGTATACCACATCAGTCCCCCTTTTCTATTGGGCCGAAACCCATCTTCCCATTCACTCCTGTCAGGAAATCTGACTGTGAAAGGTTTTTCATATACATGTCTCAGTATCATTTTGTCAGACCCCATTTTAAATATGGGTTCTTTTTTCATGTCCTGAGTGATGTATGTATTTATTAATTTATTTATTAATGCTAGTGGGATGGGACTAAGTCCCTTGTACTGCAGCCACTTCTGGCCTATTGTACCAGCCCCAGATGATAGGTGAGGGTGATTGTGGAGCCGTTGCTGGAATGAAGATTGGCAGGGGAAACCGAAGTACTTGGAGAAAACCTGCCCCAGCACCACTTTGTCCATGATGTATGGGCGAGAGGAAGTATGGTATCATATATTCTTAACCTTGCAAGCAGATGGAAGTGGAGAGCTTCACTCTCCAGCTGTCTTACCCACGCTGAAAGAGCCTCCAGTAGCCATTGGCTGGGAGGCCGAGTAGGCCCCAAAGTTAATTTGGACCCTGTAGAGAAAAGAGATTTTTTACACCTATCAGGAATTGAATCCAGATTCCCCAGTCATCCATCCTGTAACCTGTTCCCTGCACTGACTGAGCTACCCAGTTATAATCTGTGATTATCTCAAGGTTCGTTCTTCAATGCAAGACTCTGTACTGAGTGAGCCAAATTTGTGATGGTTAAAAATTACTGTCTTCATGGATGTCTAGTCTGCTAGATATTTACATTAGTGATCCTGTACAGGGAGGCCGATTTAATTTGAATTACACGGTGATCTTCATAGTCACTGCCGTGAGAGCCCATAGTGCCCATAGTAATCGTTGATTTGGTATGAAATGAGACGTCAAGCAAATTACTCCACAGTGTCTTCTGCCTTCATGGATAAGGCCCTTTGGCCTATGCCCATTCAGAATTAATTAATTCTGAAATTTGGATCTTGCAGACAGTTGGTAGGATTCCTTGGATGGGTGATCAGCCTGTCGCAGGGTTGCTACCTACACAGGACAACACATACACAGAATAAATGCAGACATATCCATTCCTCGAGTTGGATTTGAACCCATGATCCCAGTATTTGAGCACACGAACATATTTTATGCCTTGGACCATGCAGCTGCTTTGATTGGCCACTTCACAGTGTTTTGTGTAATATTGCCCAGCAGTTTATACTGCTGTATCCAAGTTGTAATATGAACTGCTCATATCATATTGTCACAGGATAGTGACAAGACACAGGGTTTGGTAATTGGTAATTGGATATAACTATCATAACTCATAACTACAAGTGACTCTTAACAGCTTCACTGATTTCTTCACTTTACATGTCACTACAGCACACGCTAAGTCTTTCCTGTAGTTGCCTGGTAACAGATCCCACCACTGTCCTCTGCTTCCATGCTCATGTCATTACTGGCTGGCGACTCTCCGGCACCTAACCCATGACAGCAACGCACTTTCTTGACAAACTCACTTTTCCCTCTGCATCTTGCTGTATCACCTAAGCACAAACTGCATAGAAAACTCCAATTCCAACAGTTCCTCTGTTGTTGCTTGCATGTCCATTGCCAAGATGTGTTTATTGGCCGTTACCTAGCATTGGCTCCAGCATTCCAGTCTTTCAGCTGCCATGTAAGAATATCATTGCAGGCCAGAAGATGCTGATGTAGAGACTTCAGAACAACTTGTTCAGGAGGAGGAAGAAGAGGGCGAGGCAGAGGACGAAGATGTTGGAGAAGGTGGTGAGAAAGGTCCAGTAGACTACAATGCTTTGGATTATGAAACAATGGATGGAGCTGGTTCTGAAAAAGATGAAGAGAAATTGGGTAAAAATAATACAGTCACTGCTGTGGCAATGAAGCCAGAGCCTGAAGCTGCACCAACAGGAAATGGTGCTGTTGAGGAAGAATTGGTAACCAAGATCATTGCAAATGAAAAATCTCCAGGTTTGTTTTCACAGTTTCATAAATTTTGTGTCATGTTTGTGTAAAAATTGTATATCTGTATGACATCACGGAAACTGCGTATATTGTCTATACAGTACAGTCAGTTCCACAACGTATCACATGACTATCATCATGTAAAAATTACTCAATGGTGAAGCTGTAATTGTAGTAAAATTTAATATAGATTGTTGTTATAGATTGGACTCTGCTCGCATTATTAATGATTTTTGTGTAATTTCCACATGTTGTGGAACTGACTGTATCTTACAGAAATATAGCTTGTGTGACAGTATGCATCAATCCTTTGTAATTGGTTGTTGCAGTTTGCTGTGAAGTTTATATTTGAAGAGTCGTATAGATCCTAGCAGAAAGTTTCTGGTTTATATGCATATTTAAAGAACCCCATAATTCCTTGCTTCTGTAGCCCTGAAAGTACCCTGGCCTCCGCTATAACACATGCCCATTCTTACCTACTTCTTGCTTTTTCCCTTATCATGGTAGGTCTAAAACTGGCTGTTTTTCTCTTATGTTAAATGTCACAGTTGGAGAGTAATAAAACAAAACAAGCGTGGTATTTCAGAGCATGTATAACCTAGATTTTACTTTGCACTTATGTTGGATATTGTTTGTTGTTTGAGGTATTAGCAGTGGCTGGCATTGAACCCAGGACAGCAGTACAGACTTATGCTGGAGACTATAATTGTCTATACAGTGGAGTCCTGATGTTTGAGAATTTATAGCATTCCTGAAAGTGCTTGTTGTAATGGATATCTGAAAGTGGTTGAAATATGTAACTACTAGTCCATCCCTTAACTTTCATTTATATATAATACAGGAGGGCATGATGGTATCAATAATGCATATCTGGCAACATTTCTTGTTCCTGTTATTGTTCTTGTTGTTCCTTTAAGTGATTATGTATTATGAAAATAGTGGAAATAATTCAGCATTCTCATCACCATCAGCATCATGTGAACCCAAGAACTAAAGATGTTCATTCTTAAACTCACATATATTCTGCATGTCTGCAAGCACAAATCACCCGTGCTCTGTTCACAAGTCCTGCCCATGTTCCAAATACAAGTGGCTGCAAATCCATACATGTGAGAATTTGTATATCAACTTGCGTCAGAGTTAAGTGACAGACATGTTACATGAAGCAGTTTCTCATGCTGATACATGTATGCAGTGTCATAGGTTCTGAATGCCACCAAGACTGAATTTCATGCAAGTTACTGTACTGTGACAGTCGCCGAGTGTGTTATCAACAGTTCTCAAGGCAGCAGCCTGCGAGTGTGCGATAACTAAGAAGTCAGCGAGCGGAAGACTTATTGTGTGCTTTCAAGACATAGTGAGTGCTGTAGTACAGTTATAATTGGAGTGTGTATTTCAGGGAGACTTGTATAGCTCCCACGTTATTAATACTTGAAGTCTCTTGAAGACGGTGTTAAGAGATTTTGTTGTAGGGTTTGTAAACTGTGGAAACCCGTAACATTGTTATAATTAACTGTAGCCGATACTTGTAGATTGTTAAATAAACCAGTTAACGATCTCTATGGCCTATTCAGTAACGTAAACACGTTACATTGGTGTCAGAAGTGGGATGAACTTAAACACGCCACAAATTGAATTATTGTGCATCGTGTATTCTACTGAGACAAGATGGAGATGCAGCAGATGATGGAAGTGATGGCTAGAATGGAGAATCATCTGGGAGTAGAAAATGGTCTAGTAGAACCAAACCCCCAGGCCCACCCGCCTGAAGGAATCTACGTAGGCAGGACCCTAGTTCAGGACTGTCAAGAAGTACCAGTGAGGGTCATGAATGTTACCCAAAAGGACCAAAAGCTCAGGAGAGGATCTCCTCTGGCGCACTGTGAGCCAGTAACACTCGTGGCTTTGCCCGAGGTGGGACGGCCACTAGCACCAGGTCTAACACCGAAATTAGCGGACGTGACCACAGCGGCCAAGCCACACCTAAGCCCCGGAGAATTTCA